TCTCCTGGAGGGCGCTTTTAAAACTCTGTTTTGCATAGACTGCCAACTACTGCTCGACAGTCCGTCCGACATACAAACACTTCACAACAACCGCTAATTTACTGCACTGTGAGGTTTTATTTTTCTGTGAACGTTTTTATACGAAAGGTAAATTTTCACTAAAAAGGATACTTTGCTTTTGGTGCAGCGGTGACGAAGAAAGTCCGTATTCCGTTAAAAGAGTATTTTAAAACAACAATTTGTTTATATTGAAATATTATTTGCTTTAATTGGGCATTATCCGTCCTCTAGTCACTTCTCAACACGTGCTCTCATTAGCCTGAACATTATTCCAGTTGGGAAAGCCCTATAATCATTATAAATTTCTAATTAATTTGAAACGAACGTTGCAACTTATAGGGGAGAACTTCCATTTTGAAGGATATAGGTAGATGGTACTGGTGCAAACTCATCTTCAGAGAGTGGTTGATCGGACAAACATTAGAGATAAGCGGACTCTATTTTCAAATGCTGTATACAAAATCATGCCGATCACAGTGTAAGGCATGAACCGTCTTCCCCCGCTCAAACACTGGGATCGTGGGTTCGAATCACACACGAGGCATGGATGTCTGTGTGAGTTTATTCTACGTTTGTGTTACTCTGTGTGTAGATAGCTGCCTTGCGACTGGCTGATCCCCGCCCAAGGAGTCCTGCCATCTGTGTGGCTGCCTAGCAACGGTTCTGGATGCCACGTCACGCAATGCTAAAGCAGATGGCAGGCCTGCGTGCTGAAAGGTCAGCAGAACGCTGCATGCGTAATAATAGACCTCGAGGTTACGTAATTGTAGCGACACAGATGGAACATTTCCCATATAGCTGCTAGCTGACAAATCTCTGTCAACTAGACATCGGTTCGAGGCCCGTGTCCCAAACATGTAACGCACCTTATGTGGACACCTGCGTTTCCGGACGACACGTGGGCCAGAGACACACCTAACCCATCTGGTGTGTTCCGGTTTCTTATCAGTCCGTTCAGTAGATCGCTGTGAGAGTACACTGCCCTGGACTCCAGCAAAGAGAGAGAGAGAGAGAGAGAGAACAGTAATGTTTCCGGTTCTTATTTCGGACATATCGGTTCAGATCTTAGCCGTATCTCTTGCTGCTATGTCCGAGTGGTTTCTTGGTCGTGTTGAGCAGACAAGGAATCCTTAGTTAGGCCCAGACCACTTCCCTTCCTCTTGCTTTCGTCACACGTAATTATTCTCTAGTATCTCCAGATTAATCCGTGCAATGGGAGCAGTGTTACTGAACACAAGGACCTCGTCTGTGGGGTAGTGGTCAGAGTTCCTGGCTACAGATCCAAGGGTCCGGGTTCGATTCCCGGAGCTACCAAATTTCTGAGAAGTAGTGAGTCTGGAACGGGGTCCACTCAGTCTCGTGAGGATAACTGATAAGTTATTTCAATTAAATAACGAAACCGAAATTAACGACCTTGGGGATTCGTTGCACTGACCACGCGACACCCTCTATCCGCTAAATTTGGCACTAACTTCGCCGACAAGCGGCGGTACAGTTCGCTTGCGGACTAGAGACAACGGAGTTATTAAAGAGAAGAGAAATAAATCAGACTTTTCTGATTCAGTTTCCACAACCGACATTTCGTACAATTCGACGCTCAGTATTCTTTGTAGTTAAAATACACGTAGCCTTTCCAAGTAACCTGAAAATGTGTAGATCATGGTTCCAGGTATTTTCCAGTTTGGTTGAGAACATGATGTAACATTTATCCTCCTGGCTAGAGGGCTTTGTTTTGCTCCCGGTAGGGTTGCAGGTGGCCGAGCGGTAGGCCTAATGCCTGCACTTTAGGTTTGGGGGATATATTCCGCTGGTGCACACTCCCAACGGACACAGAGTGTAATCTGATATATAGCAATTGTTCTTGGTGACATGGAGAATATTCAGTTGATGAATCTGGATGCTTGGCTTGACTCGTCGACCTCCACAATTTATCTTGTCATGCTGATATGTAGAGTGACTGTCTATGTGAATCCCAACAGTGAACTCTTTAGTAGAGAGAACAGAGACCCAATAGACTCCAGCCAGCCCCAAGAGGACCTGATTAAATGGCCCTCAAGTCTAAAAGGATTAATCTTCACTCTCGCCACTCAGAATCGTGTCCAGCATCGACTGCAGCAGAAGGGCAGCTGTCTCCCTATTTGGGAGATGACAAAGGTAACAGACATGAATTTCTCCCTCCTGATTCAGGATCACCGTTTCGATTCTAGATCTTTCGGGAAGATGGCGGCTATCTACTAGAATTCCCTTCTTCCTTACACTCACCGACACCGTCAATCGTTGCTCTTTGAATTGTATGTTGTCATACTATACCTTCGGCTGAAACAAATGCGTAATTAATATTCTATTGAGACACTACGCTACAAGCCTCAAGGTCGCGGTTTCGATTTCCGGTGAGTTAAAATTTTCAATTGACCCAATATTTCCAGCCGCATTATGGTCATGGGGTCGACTCAACCTCTAACAGAAATGAGTACCAGGAATTTTCCTAGGGGTAAAAGCGGCCGGCGTGTAGGGCTGACAACCTTGCCACCATCTGTGAGCAGATTGTCTAGATAATATGCAGACAACGTCTCACAACCCTATGGGCTTCCATAACCTTTTTTATGCATAATAATTATCGTCGATATTTTATTGATTTAGCACGAGTTACAAGATTATATGCGGAAGGGATAATATTATTAAAGGCCAACATAACTCTCATAAAACTCTGCATAACAGGAAGGCTGTCGGGAAGTGGACGAAAAAGACCACAAAAAACTAGCGGCGTCCACAACAGGAATTGAAGGTGCGAAGGATTTCTACAAAGACGTTCTGCCAAAATTCCAGCGAACTATTTAAACTAAACAGAAATCAACTACGATGAATTAATGGACTATTTACAGGACACTGTCACCTTTTAAAATTGGGATTAATCAACAATCCCACAAGCGGAAGACACCAGGTAGAAGATGAAGCAGCCTCACATATCCTATGCAATTGTGAGGCTACAGATTACTGAAGATTTACTCACCTGAGCAGCGCTTTACGGAACCAGGTTTCTGCTTTTTTTTTTGTTGCTAGCGTGGTGGGACTAAGTCCCTTGTACTGCGGCCATTTCTGGCCTACTGTACCAACCCCAGATGACAGGTGAGGGTGATTGTGGAACAATTGGTGGAATGAAGATTGGCAGGGGAAACCGAAGTACTCGGAGAAAACCTGCCCCAGCGCCACTTTGTCCACCACAAATCACACTTGACCAGACCCGGGATCGAACGCGGGCCGCCGCGGTGGGAAGACAGCGACTAACCGCTTGAGCTATGGCGCGGCCTCAGGTTTCTGCTTATTTGCCCCTTTAAGAAAGACACTTCACTTCGTTCGAAGTGCAGGATTACTGGATTCTGAACGCAGGGATAAGCAGAGTAGGTCATTGATGGTAGTGGGGTGTAGACCGGTTAAGACCAACCTCTTATTCATTCGTAACATGTAAGTAGGAACTTTGATAATTTACCTTGATTTAGATGGGACGTGACACAGAAATATACTTTCAGCAGACACGAAAGAATATCCTGAAGTTACCTGCACTGGGTTTCACATGCAGTGAAGTTGGAAGAATTTTAAAACTCTGCCAGATAAGATTCTCAGGAAGTTACTGACTTACTACGCTCTAAGTTAACTTTAATGTAGCTGCTTCTTGTTAATATATTCGTATATTTAACACAAGAGGATGGCTCCGATTTCATTTTAGTCCTTCAGAACTTTCCTTAATTGCCTTTATCATATCAGTTAACACTAATATCACTCATGAATGTGTTCTAGAAAAAGCTGTCACAAAATGAGACACCATCCAGACATAATAATTGGAGACAGAAGCGGGACATAACCATCGAAACAAGGTACTCCATGCAGAACATACAAGCCTGTATTTCCAGTGCAAAGACTTCTAGTCATGCAGGCCTAGTGCTGCAGACTTTATTGATTTCTTTTCTTTCTTTCTTATATTTCTTCATTTGTGAAGAACGTGTTACCTAAGTACAAATTCTGTCTATATTAAGTTGTTGGACATTACCTCCCGGATTCGCATCTTTGCCACGTTGGTAATTGTTGACTCACAAACAGTAATTTATACATATTGTACACTTGGTTCCTTGTTCTGTTTCCATACCAACCTTTTTTTTGATTGGCTCTAATGATTAATTATTTATCGCCGTCAAACCGAAAGATAAATAAAATTTTCGTACAGTCGTCATGATGTTACTTTATATTCTACAAAAGAAATTATCTTAAAATATTATTATTTTTCGAAGATCTCTTATCATACTGGCACATCATTTCAGAAACATAAATTAATGTCACAAGTTCATGTGTACGCCAATTTGCTATAACGGATTATAGGGAACTGAGAAATACGATGCGCAGTCATACCGAATTTCTTGAAAACAGATCAAGTATTTCAGAATTTGTAATGGAGAACACACAGACAAGTACACAGAAAACGAATGGCATCCAGTGGCATAATGTTCATATCAATTATCATGAAAACTGCTCAGTTATTTCAAAATTTGACATGCAAAATCACAGACAGCACATTAAATATATGTCTGCTTTATTTCCTTAAGGAACTAGTGCATCATAACAATGGACCCTTAAGAAAAAGATTGTGATGATGTCAGTTTTATTGAACTTATTAGCTTAATTTAGAGACGAGTGAAAGATCTTAAACTTCACGCTATCTGAACTCATAATTTTGTTTTGTTTGCACACATGGATACATCTGTTGATTTCATTAAACGTAATGTCGCTCCGGGACGCTAAATTCGGTCTAGATGTGTAATTCATCTGCCACTAAATCAGTAATACCAGAGAGCGAAGGATAATATTAATCTCCCTAACAAGCTTTTCATATGTTGGGTAGGTATACAATAACACATAGATGGACTCCTTACCTGAACACAATTTCCTAATGACAGATGGAATATTAACTTTATTCAGTATTTAATAAAATGTGCACGGGTAATGATATGATAGTATTTGTAATTTCATTTCTCTTCTTTGGGCGATTCTACAAATCAGTTACATTACTTATTTAAGTAGAGAATCAAAATATAAAGCAATAATATTTAGCAGAATTTAACCGTAAGCTTGATAACTTTTTCTCAAAGTTATTGGTAAATAATGGTTCACGTCACAACTAGAGAAATAATTTGGGCTCCCTCTACCAGAGAGTCATGTCTCTGCCACTACATTGAAGACAAGCTCACGGAGTGCTGTACGTGTGCCCGCTCACATCGGCTCTCCAACAGGCTTGATAATAAGGTCATGTACCTGTAGCAAAGAAACTGCTGTTGGTTTAAAGGAAATATACCCAGTGCGGGAGTCAGAACGAGTGCTTTACAAATTATTACATATTTTAAAGATAATCGGTTTAATATAACTGTATTACTACACAGGGTGAGTCTTAAATAGTACCATAAATATAAGCATCATGGTCTACATTTTCGGACAAGCACAAACTTTCATATAAATATATGGACGCAACAGCTTCATCTGGGAGATATGGCAGTATCTCATCCCATTCAAGAAACATGGTTCCGGCAGCAGTTTGGAATAATTGTTTGGGTGGACAATATTGACAATCTTCTCCCACGTCCTCATGAGCTACGGTCTTGAAAGTCAGTGACCTCCAATTTACAGTTTCTGTCTGAAAAATTACCGGAACCACAAGACAAGACGATATACCGCTGGCAACGCGGAAGACAACGTGGGTGTTGCATGATGGGACTCGTGACTTCGTGAGGTGTTCAGACAGCCACTACCCAGATAGGACGAAATGGACCATTTGTGCTGCCTCCGTGATCACTCGGTCTCGTTGCTGTCCACTTACACCTGTGTATCATTCTGAAAATATCGTTTAGAACCAGCGATGTGACACGCGGGACGAACTGTGGAACACCATCGAAGCGGCTGGGGAGACAATGAGGCAACAAGCCTGACGTTTTCCATCAGACCAGGAATTCTTGGCGCAACGGGGCTGCTGTGCATTGACTGCAATAATGGACCATTTCAACGTCTTTTCTAAACCGTTAATAAATAACCAGATGTCATTCTGTTCAGAGCTGATGAATTATCCTTTCACAGATCAGTTTTGCCCAATTTCTTCATCGTTCTTCGTGTCAGTGAAACTGTTGCGACCATGTATACTTATTTACATGACCATTTCTGCTTGCGTCTAAGTGTAGAACACGGTTTGCATGTTATGTAATGAAGACTCGTTCTATATAGTACATGGAGTAAATCTTTTCTTCCATGTGCTATATTCTTAGTGCACACAAGAGAGTGTACACTATGTTGTAGGACTGAAAGTTTATTATTTTCTTTTTTGCGTTATTACTTTTTGAATAGAATTTAAAGGTTCATGGTTCATTATATTCGATATTGATTTATTCAGTAATTACCGGAAGAAGTACATAAGTCACAGCATTGAACTATTGTTGTTTTGTAGGTTATTACATGATACTGTCAATAACTAGGTTACAGTATAGCATCGAACGCCAGGCAGATATTGGATGTTTTTCAGTTGCAATTAATTTGGAAGCAAGAAGTCATGACTTATTGAATGTAATGCCCAGCCAGTTGCCTAAAATAACTTGAAAACAACCACGCAAACTAAGGCAGGGTATGGCCGCGCCATAACTCAAGCGGTTAGTCGCTAATTTCCCACCGTGACGGCCGGGTTCGATCCCGGGTCTGGTCAAGTGGGATTTGTGGTGGACAAAGTGGCCCTGGGGCGGGGTTTCTCCGAGTACTTCGGTTCCCCTGCCAATCTTCATTCCATAAAATTCTCCGTCATCATAATCATTCGGGGCAGGTACGAGTACAATAGACCAATCAGTGGCCTCCGTGGCGAGCGGACCCAGCTGGACTCCACCCCCCCCCCCACTAAGCGAAAAGGGCAGGGTTTGTGGCGCCCCCCCCCCCACTAAGCGAAAAGGGCAGGGTTTGTGGCGTCCAGGCAGATATTCGAACCGAGAGACTCCAAAATCCAAGTCCAGATCGTTACATCATTCATTTCGCTTATTATTATTGATTAGCTCTAGCGTGCTCGAGGTGTGCGGACGTGTCATGCTTGAGCTCCTGCCTTACTTGAGTGTCCAGTGTATCTCTGTGCGTGCCGGCCTGCTGTTGGTTAGGCGTGGCCAGTAAGAATCTGTGTGCGGTTTATGAAAAGCAGTTTAAGGGCAAGCAAAGTTCTTACGGGGCGGCTTTTGCGATTCGCGCTTCTGTAGTACCTGCCTACAGACTGGTGTGTCGGAGATCATGTGAGTGCATCCACTGGCAACTCTGCTTATAAGTGCGAGGGCTGCAACAGATTTACGCGGATACTGCACACGAGCATTCCATCACTAAGAGCAATCAGAAGGAAGCATTATCCACGGAGACTAGGTTCACTGCTTCGCGTATCGGGGATAAAGATTCTCTCAGCGTGCATCTGGAATCGGTTCTCGTAATTCGCATATGTACCATGGAGATGGTATGATCTTTGGTTGTAATGGCGGCTAAGAATTGACAATGGAACGTTGAAGACGCTGTTCCCCCGCCTACAGCAAGCTCCCTCTCATGTTCCATCAATATGACGTGAAACTGCTTCATCTGACGCAGCAAATAAAGCTACGGGAAAATCATACAGGGGTGTTTTGGGTACAGTGGGTAGTAACCCTGCTGCCACAGCGCTTACAGCTCCGGCTGGGAATACTGTGACCGGCGAAAACTTTTCTGATGGGGAATTTGTAACTGCAGTTAGAACGAAGCGGATAAACCCTTCTCGTGTAAATACTTCTACCATTACCAACACCACAAAGAAATCTGGCATCCGTTTAATCGTAGCGAGAAGCTCGTCGTCTCTCTCTGTTTTACAGAAGAGGATCTGCCGAAAGTATCCTTTTGTGTCTCGATTTTTCCCTGAAGTAACATCATCAGATGTTGAGAAATCTAGGATCAATTGCAGTTTGCTTCCCTTGCTTGCACCAGATTAAAAACTAACAATAATTCATATGCCCCATTTCACAATTCTGTTACAGAAAATTATTTCCATCTTATTAATAATACTGGAGTCTGGCCTAACAGCTGTTTGATGACCCTTTATTATGAGCGATTAAACCCTGATCAGATTTATTCTGTTGAAACATTAACGTCTTGGCCTCACTCCCTTCGTGCGGAAGCCTTCGTCCTACTGCTCCCCCACCCCTGGACCCTATTGGCACGAAGGGGGGGAGGGCTCTCCCGTACTTAGTTAAGGGTTAACACGCGTGACATTAAAACATGTGGTTCTACCAGGTCTCACGCCCAACCTGGAAATTGTTCGAACATTTATTATCAAAATGTCATAGGTCTTAGGAATAAGCAACTTGAACTTTATGAAAATGTCTGCTCTATGGACTATAATAATATTTGTTTAACTGAGACATGGCTAAACGACCTGACTGTTATACAGTTTTCCTTTCTGTCAGGGCGTCTGTAAATAAGACACGTGGTGGTGGGAGTACTGCTTGCCTATCCTCCAGAGTTCGTTCCTATAAACGCAGATACGACTTAGAATCCTGTGATGAATGTGTATGGGTTGAAATCGCCACTTCAAACGGTCTTAACCGTCTCATTGGAAATCATTACTTCCCCCTGACGCTAAACTTGAAAACATTGCTAACTACTTTCGCTTGTTTTAGAGAACAAGTTGGATACCCACTATTTCCGTGCAATTATGGTTGGGGATTTTAACATATAAGGTTTGAATGGAAATGTGCTTATGTCTGCCTGCTTTCCATTATTACACCAAACTTGAGCTAGATGCAGCTCACAACTTCACGCGTCTTGTTAATCTTAACCAGTGAACTGATACTGTCAGCAACAGTAATCAACTAGATTTAATATTTTCAAACTTAAGCTATTTATTTACTACTCCTGTCGACCCTGGACTTGTGAAGCCTGATAATTTCAGCATGGATTTATAATATTATTGCAAACTAGTGAAAATATATATGTCTTGCCAATTATAATTTCCTAACACAACAATAATAATAATTACCCATATTTCAGGAAACCCTCGACTCTCCTATGGATTGATCACTGTGAGCACTATCGACCAGTGTTAAGTAATCTGCGATTCTACTTTTCTTCGACAGAACTAGCCTGGCTGCGGTTTAGCAATAAGGCCCGTCCAGCATATGGTTTTGGTTTGGTGCTTTTCGTTTCTTTGGAAGACTGCAGCTGTGGATGGGAAGTGGGAAACTTTTACATGGAGAGGAAATCTAGACCCTAGCTTCGAATTTATTAGAGAGTTATGAGAAAAGAAGAAAAAACTGGGGTTTCAAAAGCTGGCAAAACTGTATAAATAAGCGGAAACTATGAGGACCAAAAAATGTACTGAAACTACCACAACTTACATATACAATAAGTCCTGGAAATATTGTAAATTCTTTATATACACTATATGTATGTACGTGCATATGTGTTTTCATTACAGAACACATGACATGGTGGCCATGTCATATTAGGTCGCGACATAAGTAAATACAGTGCCTACAGAATCATGAACTATATGAAAACTGTTGATTGAAAAATTTGAAACATTTATTAATACCTTTTCCATTTTAAACGAAAAATTACAATGTGATGGACATAAAATTTACGAATTGTTCTGATCTATGAAGTGTCATATTAAAATTCATGTTTATTAAATTGGATAAATGATAATTACAAAAGCTGAGATTAAATTATAAAATATTAAAAATAAGAAAATTGCATGTACTAACAGATAATACATTTGTATATATGTATGTATACTAATTTTTTATTTTATAGTTTGTTTACTTATATAAGTATATTGGAACGGTTATGAGGAGGGAGTTATTCAGAAAAATATTACTTCAGACTTCACAAAGAATTGTGTATGAGGCCAAGACATGGAACAGAGAGTCCATTTATTAAAAATGTATTAAAGCTCATAATTACTTGATTTTCGGACTTTGTCCATCGTTCGGTACTCTGAAAACTAGAGACAACAACATTTCGGAAACAGATCCATTTTCTAAAACGTCGTATTTTCTAGAATACCTTACGATAGAAATAGCCCCAAAACCCAGTAATTCTGATTTTTATACACCATTGTCAGACCCTCTAGAATCTACATGCATTAATCCTGCTTCAGCATACCTGTATATGAGGCGCAGTGCCTAGAATGTAAATGATGGCTTCACAAATGTCCTGACACTTGAGGTGGGGAAGGTTGCTGTAAAACTGTTCAACCGTCATACCTTCAGCTATCTTGTAGCCTGCTGCAAGAATGATTTCTGTTTGCACCATGCCTGGACATATGGACTAAAAAAGACAAGCATAGAAAAAAATTATATTACTAAATTTATATCGAAGGTTAATTACCAGGGCCCGGATTTTTATGACCTGAAAATATTTAAAAAATGACCAATGAAATGACCAAAAATCAGAAAAATGACGTAAAATATGATCCAAAAATGTAATATGTAGGGCCCGGATTTTGATGACCTGAAAATATTAAAAAAATTACCTATAAAATGACCGATAAAACCCAGAAAAATTACCTAAACGAGAAAAGAAAGGACACTTCGCTTCCATGTTATTCACATTTCAGAAAATATATGAAGAAAAATTCCCTAAAGTGGCCAAAAATGATAAGAAATACCCTTAAAAGTCCAAAAATTTACCAAAAAATAACCTTAAACCCAAAAATGTAAAAAAAAACATAAAATTACCTATAAAATTTACATTTCTGTAACCAGCAGCGCATATCTTAGATTTATATATTTAAGAGCATCGCATAGGATACAAGGAGAAAGAGATGACATGTCATCAAAATCCGGGCCCTGTTAATTACCATATACCTCAATATTATAAGCTACCCAGATTAAGAGACAATCAAGAAATACAGTTTTTTATGGAAATCGATAACATTTCTAATATTATACCGCCCTGCTAAGTTATTAATCATGTGATAATCCAATGCAGTTCACATCTTCATAAGCGATCGCTCTAAACCTATTTAGACATCTACCCCCACGCCTACCAAGATCTCTCATGTTCAGTCACATTTCCCCACGCATTTCTTATTTTTCGTGTACGTGCTACATGTCCAGCCATCTGTATATGCACGGTGTGGCTCAGAGTGACATCTCTTTGAAAGAGAAATGGTAAATATGAAGAGCCCTGTGGGTTTGAATGAACCCATAGAAGTCGCATATAACGTAACCACATAGTCACCTCCAATCAGTGTCGAAGCCAAGGAAACCTGGATCTATACTTCCACTCCCCTATGCGCCTTCATAACATAGTGCTTTATTACTTAAGCACAGGAACATCTGTAACAATAATCTGTGGGCGCTACAGTCCGTGATGAACCCCGTCCTCTGTTTTTTGTTTCCTTGGCACTACAGCCCCAGTGGGCCTAGGCCTACCTCCATGAACTTCTCCGTTCACTTCGAACCCACGATCTCGGCTTTCGAGCGAGCGAAGACAGTGCATGCCTTAGACCGTCGTCCTCTGTTTTACAGTTTCTTAATCATATATACAGTTGGTAGGCCTCCATGGACCGGGGTTCAGCCCACTGCAAGGCCGCTCTTAAAAGGGACAATACAAATATACAGTAGTATAATAAGCTCAGGCAAACATCCATGCCTCAAGTGGGATTCGAACACACGACCCCGGTGTTTGAGCCAGCGAAAATAGTTCATGTCTTAGTCCGCGCGGCCGTTGTGATCTGCATACACAGGGACAACTTTAACTTTTTCATAATATATTCATATATGTGTGTATGGATTTTTTCATTCCAAGTTATTCGTTACACAGAAAATTAGTTTCCTTTATGAGTATTAAAATACATATTTTATTTATGAGTTATTATGACCTTAAAGCCTAAACGCGAAGCCGGGAACCCCATGCAAGGAAACCATTAAGTCGAAGAGAATGGTCAATATGATGTAATATGGAAACATTAATAAGTTGCTGTGCTATAAACAGAGTCATGTCATGTGACTTCAGGAATTCAGCTTACTCAAGTTGACATGTTGCATCCACTCGGAGATCAGTTTGTTTATTACAAAAATAGTTTTGAATTTGTGAAATTATTTTGATTTGTAATAAACTCAAAGCAAATCTCGACTTATCTCATTTCCTCTTAAACTTTTAAAATCATTAATTCGTTATGATCAGTAACCGTAAACCAAAATAGCTTTTAAGCACTTAATATTACCGTAACTTTGATCTTGGAGTTTCGCTGCACCAGCTCACGCCTGAGACCCTCGGTGAGCGCCTGGACAGCGTTCTTGGTAGCCGAGTACATCATGAGGTCGTACTCCAAGCTGTGTTGGGGGACACCATGCCCATTGATGCTGAAACAGAATGAATAACTATCAATATTATCATAATTAATCATTAATCATATTATTAATATTAATTAATATCATTATATTATTAATATAATTATCTGTTAGGCTTTAAGTCATGTACAGATTGTTTATTTAAATGTAAACGTTAGGAGTGGAACAGTTTCCGTCGATCTAATGTCTCCAAATGAATTTCACGTGGCTCAGTACCTGCTGATGTGTATGATGTGACCATCGTCCACTCCACTCTCCCTCATCAACTGGAGGGCCTCCTTGGTGCAGATACTGAGACCAAGCACGTTGAGGTCCAGGACGGATCTCCACTGTGACACAGGGCCCTCTGAAATCAAACACACGTCAAGATGCAGATCAGTAGTTGAATATCTATTAGATACAATTTTCATGTTCTTTGGTACACGGGCATTGGGCATCTTCTTGTTGCTCCTGGCACAGACGATCTCTAAATATAAGGGCCAGCTGCGAATATACTGAATAGAGAGCCGCAGGCTTCCGACAAAATGTGCTTCCCCAGCGCGTGCTTTGGGTGATGTCTAACGTGGCCCATCGTGAATCAAAATATTACGAAACGTTGCGCAGAGGACAGTTTGGAGGGTGGAAACGTAAACGGAAGCAGAGTATTAAAATGAAGAATTTTGTCCCCTGGGCTGTGCTGCCATGTAGTCTGGAAAATCCATAAGACAGCAGTCTTATTACTTAGGCAGTGAGAAGGCCGCGCCATAGCTCAAGCGGTTAGTCGCTGGTTTCCCATCGCGGCGGCCCTGGTTCAATCCCGGGTCTGCTCAAGTGGGATTTGTGGTGAACAAAGTGGTGCTGGGGCAGGTTTTCTCCGAGTACTTTGGTTTCCCTTGCCAATCTTCATTCCACCAATTGCTCCACAATTACCCTCACCTATCATCTGGGGCTGGTACAATAGGCCAGAAGTGGCCGCAGTACAAGGGACTTAGACCTACCCCACTAGCAATAAAAAAATAGGCAGTAAGAACATCAAATTACCGATCACGGTGGTCGGACGGTCTAAGGCATGATCTGTCTACACTTGGTCAAAAGCTGGGATTGTGCGTTCGAATACCGCTCGAGGCATGGATGTCATTGTGTGCGTTTATTCTGTTTGTGTTGTCCTATGTGTAGGTAGCGGCCCTGTGACGGGCTGTTCACTCATCCAAGGAGTGCTACCGACTGTGTAAAAAAGATTACGAAGCTAAAGAGGAGGCCAGGGCCCAACAAAGGGCTGTAAAACTATTGATGAATGATGCTGAATATCGAATTAATGATTAACGTTAAAATGGATCTCAGACGGAGTGAGGATGCCACGTGATTCAAATGATTCAGAGGAGAGGCTTTTTGGCCCGCAAGTCTCACTACTCTGTCGGCGCATGCGCTGGTCCAGAAGACATGAAAATTCCAGTACCACCAAGTATAATATCCGCCGAGAGCGATTAAATTGCGGAAGATTTAAGTCTGTTATTCCCGGATAAGAACATACAGGGTGTCCCAGGAGGAATGTGCCAAACTTCGGGAGGGTGTTCCTTATGTTAAAGTATGCCGATATAACCCAAAACACCTATGTCCAAAGTTGAACGCTTACGGAGATAATGGCCAGAGAAGTGTGAAACTTTGACCGGTGTTACACACTTGTTGATTATAAAATACATATTAAAAATGGCAGGAATACGTGGTTTCTGTAATGTTAATAATGTACGTAACATCAAACTAACTTGTGAGTGACATGAAGCCATAAAATTGAAGTACAAAATACTCGCTCGCCATGTCATAATTGTCCTTAGGTTTTCCAGGCACTATACATTACACATGACTGGCAAGCGCTGACGTAACATGGCTGACTGCGCTATAAGCCGACCACATAACTGCATTAAACGTACATTCACGGAAAATCTCTTTTGGAATTTCGTTTCCATTATCTCATATGGATTATGTGGACCACGTATGCACATTTCGTAAATTATTTACACCGTCCAGGGTAAAATGACGCTTAACAGTTCGGGATGAGCTTTTATCCAGTGGCGCAAAGTCATACGCTGAGCATGGTCGCCTGGTTCCAGATGTTGTACCCTTTGATCATGGTAAGCATACAACTCTTCATCATGTAAAGTTCGCCACACCTGCATACGTGATCGCCAATGCGACAGGCCATTCTACGAGTGGACAGACGCGGACTTCTCCGAACCATCTCAAGAACGTTCTCTCGTGTGTTTATCATTGGTACATCCTCCCTTTCAGAGTGCACAGAAACACTCGGAAGAGAACCAGTATCACGCAATGTCTGGTGAATTCGCGTAAATACACTTCGAGATGGAATCCTTCGATCGGGAAAACGCCTTTGGTATTCTTCAACAGCAGCACGTGCATTGCCGCCGCAAAATCCACACACAAAATGCATATCACAATATTCCACGTGTGAAAAAACAAAAGGCATTTCAGCAACTCCACACAATTAACCTACCACCCATTCACGACCCGGCCGCAACGTATACTGATGGGAGCTTACGGCTAGTGTGAATCACTACACTCAAGGACAAACATAGATAAAGCGTCTCAGCTGACAGATATAGTGCGTGGACCCCCCCTTAAGACCACACTTTTCTCGTGCCATTATCTCCGTAACCGTTCAACTTTGGACATAGGTGTTTTGGGTTATATTGGCATACTTTAACATAAGGAACACACTCCCGATATTTGGCACATTCCTCCTGGGACACCCTGTATAGCAGACTTTTGTGAACACTGCAATGGACATTCGGGTATCTAGAAACGAGGGAATTTCTTGATTGAAAGTTAAAAAGTTTAGGAAACAGTCAATAAAATTATGTCGAATGCAGCTGAATCTATTTCGTGTCCTCAGATTACAGTGTTGCACCGCGACCATCACTGATCTATTGTGCCTCCACTTTTGAGTAATCCTTTATTAATCATTAAATAATTATTAATCCTACATTACGGTGTAGGACTTTATTTATGGGGGAGTCATAATAGGCACTTTGTTCCGTAAAACGTGACCCAGATGGCTAAATCTTAAGTAATCTATGGCCTCACAATCACATGGGATGTGTGTGGCTGATTCATCGTCTTGTAGGCACCGCTCACAGGTTGGGTCATCTGTCAGTCTCAGTTTGAAAAGGTGTCCTTTTAGGTGGCAGTGCCCAGTAAGTATTCCTACCACCCATCTTAACTGAGCTCTGTTTAACTTCAACAAATCCTTGTTCTTCTGGCAGATGGGTCCTGATATAAGACCCTTTGCCTCTTTGAGTCCAATTGTGGATTCCCAGTGTTTTTTGTGATTTCTGTTAGTCCAGTCCCTGTTCGCTTTCTTGGCAACTCCAATTGAGATGCCGCAAGCTGGTTCAGGTCCTATGAACGGCTGTTCAGATCCTGTTCTTGTCAGCTGATCTGCGGTTTCATTCCCTGCCATACCCTCATGGCCTGACACTCATATCAGTCGAACTCTGTTATGTCTGGCCAGTTGTATGAGGGATTGGTGGCAGGCCCAAACCAGTTTTGAGGTGATCTGGTATTTTCCAAGTGTATTAAAGTAGGTCAATTTTCGAATTAAAATATTAACATCTGCAATGCGTATTGGAGAGAAATATAAGGAGATGATATCCTATGTGAGAACTCAGATCAATTCATATTCTAAGTATAAAAAGTTATTACTGCAATCAACAAAGGAAATTCGAATATTACAATAAAATTTTTGGTGAGAATAATTTTTTACAGATTGGTATTACTTAATTTAAGACGTTTCTCTGTTTTCTGAAAGCAGATTTTATGTGGGGTATAAAATATTTCCGCCCGCACCTCCCAAGGCACCTCTCAGGATAGAGGATGCATCTTCCTCAAAGCAATATGAAATTCAAAGGCGAACTTGAATGCAAGGAATCGGCATTAGGTGTCGGATGTTACCTTACCATGGAGCGTGCTTCTGCCAATTATCCCTGCATTGTTGATCAGCACGTCCACACTGCCAAGGTTGTTCTTCACCCAGGCGAATGCAGCCACCACTTCTTCTTCCCTAGAAATGTCAGCCTTGAGTGGGTAAAGGGAGCCGGCTAATCCATCTACTTCATTTTTCAGCGCCTGCAACATAATGACTGTCCTGTACAGATCCAGCTATGGCCTTTGACGGAGCCAGGACATACCGCGCTGCCGCGGAACACCAGCATAGCAGCTCTAAGGTGAAAATGTGGTATTGACTGGCCTTTCCCCTTTGCTGAATTGGCTATGATACTATCATGTATATTAGTGATAATAGACGGGGTTTGGATTAGTAAATAAATTTATTGACCACTCATAGGTCGTAACTACAAATAACTATAAAAGGATTGCTGATTTCCACACTACAAATAACTCAACACTAAGTCTTCTCAGTTTATTTCCACTAGTGTTTACTTGGTAACGGCTGTCCACAATGGCTATTCCTCTGCCGTGTCTTCACTGGACGTTTCCTGGTAACGAATCCTAGCAAAGGATATTCTTCAGCTTCCGTTGCCCCCTTGTTAACACTCCACAGCTGAACACTCAACTCACCTGTACTGCCATCAGTCAAAGTTAAAATCACATTGCGACTGACGGTCAGTCAGTCAGTAAGTAAGTCTTATGACCAGATATTAATTATTATTATTTTATAGTTACGGTCTTGTTTCTGTGGGGTGCCTTCTCTGACGAGAGTACGCGTCTGTCGTTTATATATGCTGCTGGCCCTTGCCAGAGCAGTTTTACTCGGGTCCAAGTCCCTTGGGTCTCGGGACCGTATTTTACTGTCTCAGAACTGAGACTTCCCTTTTCGCCGCCTCCTACGACTCGTAGGGTCACGGTGGAGGTATTCGACCCCGCCTCCACACGGGGTACTGCCAGCTGCGGAACTATATTTTCTTGTAGTTACTTTGCACGGACCCCTCGGAAAACACAATCTGTATTTTTGACAAAGGCTGTTTACCCCGCTGTTGCCTAAAATAGGTACCATGTTCTTCCCCGCGTTTACTTATGCGGTAATATGTCTAACGAACCGTTGCCTAGCAATGGGCATTGCGCGGAACACATAGAAAACTCTTCTTGCAATAACTCTTCTATTGTTGAATGCGCGTATTTCGGGCGGTTCTCACGGTCCCTTCGCTTGCGGATTTCTTATATTTTTCCTTCTACCCTGAAGATGGAGGCGATACGTTCCTCCGAAACGTGGGTTAACACCACATATACACGGTGCTAAATTCCAGAAGACTGCTTTCTTCAAGGTGAAACTTAATTTCTTTTCTCGACAACAGATGGCAGTGAATTGTCAAACTCACCCCGCGGTTTCTCTGTCCCCGAGGAAACAGCCCCCTGTACAACTTGAATATGAGGCTGAACTTGTCCAGGAGTAGGTACGGACTACCTCTGGAAAAAGAAAGATCTCTTGCATATGCCGGGAATCGAACCCTGATTACTCGGTTATCCGCTTCATAGCTTAATTGCTATTCCAATTGAGTTCTTGAACTACTTAAGCCGGAAAATATTCAAAAGGATCCATAAATTTAATGTAAATAAATGACAGTGTTGACATCCTATGATGTATGTATATAACCACAGCCGCGTTGCGTATGTAAGCAAGTCCTTGTTTTGCTGTCATCGGATTTAGACCGAAAGTGAGGGGGGGGGGAGGAATTTCACAGTTGTTACATGATCACATTTAGTACAGGCTACTCAGACCCGTTCTGGTTGTAATAAGGGCACTGAACAACCTGCGGCCCGTTACCTCTATCCTCTCAAGTCTGCGAGCAATTCCCACCACCTTCATGTTGTGCTTCACCAGCTCCTTTGCGACCGCAGCGCCGATACCTGAACTTGCTCCCGTCACTACGGCAACTCGGCCTGACCACCGCTCCATTATAACTATGACAGAGGGAAGAAAACATTAAGAGCATAGAGCTTATAGCGTACAGCTGTTTGATTATTTGCTGGAAGTAACTTTGAGATGGAACAAAATGTATGCAGCACTAAACTGTTGTGAGGAAATGCCTAGTATTAAGTTTTGCCGTTCTTCCTTAAGTAAGAATTTTAGTGATATTCCAGGATTGTGTCACACTATTTCACCATCATCATGTACGTCTGTACGCATAATATGCGAATTATTATATATATGTTCCTCAGGTTAAAAATTGTAGTTCTTTTTACGGTTAAAATTGCAACTAAATTCCAAATTAAATTAGAAATTAAAGTAGTACCCTCTTGTTGCAGTTCTTGTAGTTCTTTGTTGGCATTAACTTTGTTGGTCAGTATTTTGATTCTGTGTTGCTGATTATCTGAAAATTTTAATGATATTACTCTATTGATTTGCTGGTACTATTCTAGGCGTGGGAGAGCGTCCACTTGCGATATGTGTAAGTGTGTTTCTTACGATTGATGGATGGATAAAAACTCTCTGTATTTTGTTGTGTGAAGTCTTTTTATAAGCATTATGTAGGTGAGTGTGCTGCTATCAGACGGAATTGAAGTAGGACTTGGAATATTAAGTTGCAGGATTCTACGTGTTCGTCATTCAAGTGAAAGTTGCTTTTGCCGGCCACATACACGAAACCTGTTTAGATGTTCTTCCTTTTTTATGTTAATGTCAGCCATGGTTTTGGTTACGCCTTCATAATTATAGCCTGTGTTTAGTACAGAGCACCGGAAGTATGCTATGTTCTCATTACCTGCTGTTTCAAGCCGATTATGTTTACAGTATATTATCACTTGTAGGATGGTACGCGTGATGAAAATAATGGGTTCTAGTTCGAATGATTGGATTTATTGGCATTTCGGTTACGATTTCTCTTAATCATACTTAAACACAGCGCTATCGCTGATTTACACACTTTCCAGTCCGCCGTTGCGCACACACCAGGATTCTCAGTTTCCACTAGTCGTCTCCTAGTAACGGATTTCGATACAGGAACTGGCACTTCAAATCACTATGAAGCCTTCTTGCCATTTCTTGTTCAGTCGTCCTGGAACCTCGGAACTCAACTAAAACTCTCCTGGACTGTGCTCTAATCTAAGCCACAAAAAGTCTTCTTTTTATATAGGCTCCGCACGGACCACACAGAAAACGCAGGTCTGTTGCCGCGTAGCGTAGACCACACAGAAAACAAATCACTTGATAGCTAAGTACTGTTGGAATGTGATGTCACTGCGCCTGCGCAGAGGTGTGTTCAGCTAGTCGCTGTCTAGAAGCGGGTTTCATAGCTCCGTTTTTCCATTGTAGGTGCGTGTATCGTGGGATGTTTACCGACATGTCACAGTATATAGTATGTCTGTAAACAGTCCAGAAATCTTTATCGGCAATATCGTTCGTCTTATGTGGTGATATCATCAACATATCGAAAATATACTTGATTTAGTGTCGTATTAGTAACTTGAATATTCGTTCGTGTTTACGTGTTGTAACCATGTTTGAGCTATGTAAGATTTGAGGTTTTCACGGCGGTGACAATGAAGAAAGCAGTCTTCTGGGATGTGGCACCGTGTAGATGTGGTATTAACTGACGTTTCGTAGGAACACGTCGCCTCCATCTTCAGGGTAGAAGGAAAAATAATAAAATCCGCAAGCGAAGAAACCGTGAGAACCGGTACCAGTCTGCTTGTACCGGTTCTCACGATCTTTTCGCTTGCAGATTTTCTTATTTTTCCTTCTACCCTGAAGATGGAGGCGATACGTTTCCCCGAAAGGTCATCTACACGATGCCATATCCCAGAAGACTGCTTTCTTCGTGTTTGAACTTGTACGCATGATGATGAATCACCAATGGTTAAACCGCTTTCTTGTGTATAATTTTGATGATAGAACTGGAAGTAGTTTTGTTCTAGAGATATTTATAGTAATAGACTCTTTATACTGTGATGTTTTTATTGAAGCATGTGCTAATGGACTCTATGTTGTAAATTACATTTTCGGTACCTTGTTTTGATGTATTTATGCTCATGTTCTTAATGTCAAATGGGCGTTTGCTAGTGATATTCTTAATATTTACCTTTTACAGGTCTATGATTAAGTAGGCGGAGCTGCTGATGTATTAACGCGGGAGGCACAGAATATTGTTTTATGTTTCTATTAAGCGTGCTGTTAATTTGAATGCAGAGACGTCATTCCAGATGACGATTCATTTCGGAGCTGTATTCGTTTAACATAATTTTACGAACTGCACCTTGCGTATTGCGTCTGCAAAGCTAGGAGCTCTGCCCTTCACGTATGTGTATTTCCGTGTGTTTTCTTTCGGTACGGCTTAGTGTATTGGTTTAATATATGCTTAGCGACTTTGCAATTATCTGATTCTCGTAAGTCGCATATTCTCAACGCTATAAATTTGTTTGATTATAATACACCACAATGCTTCTTTCCCCGCTCACTGTATCAGCTTTCAGTTATATCCACATGACGCCTGTCATTTCATTATTACCATTATTCTATTTTGCTCTCAACGCACAGAGTCTACGCCTTCGAAAGCCTTTCTTTAATTTCCCTTCCCTTTCTTGTTTTGCCCTACAGAAACCATTCATTTCAATCTTGTTTTTCTTTTCCATCCAAGTTTCTGCTACACCTATCACATCAACTGTCTATCATGTCTCCAAAATTCTGGGTATTCTAATTTCCTCTCCATGTGCATTGCAACAGGCTGCGGCCCGTTCATTCATACCGTGTTCGAAATATTGTTTCATTTCCTACTCTCAAAGTTCGCCTGTCACCCTCGTCCATCGCCTCCTGTCTCACTTCGTAGCCATCATTTTATTCCTCGTAGATCTGACATCCTGCTCCTGCTCTCAGTTTGTGCTGAGAATCCATAGAGGAAACGATAACTTCCACATCCCCTCGCCCCTCATCGCAGACAAATGTGGTTCAATCGTATCCCTCCCCAGCATTGTCCCCTTTAACACTGCGCCCTCTTCTATCACCTTCTTCGTCAGTTCCCCATTTATCCGTCAGCACAAGCCTTCTCTCTTCCGTTTTGGCACTTTTCAATTCGCTCCACATATATTCTTCGCTGCATTGTCGTTTCTTTTCCTTTTGTACCACCTTCCCTATTTAGTGTCTTCTGACTCCCTCCCCTGACAATCCGTGCAGATTTCGAAGTCGACACGTGATTTCCGGCAATTCTCTTGACAGGATCGTTCACCTTTCATTTCCTGTCGGCAACTTAACATTTTTCTTGAAATCGCTGGACTTCCGTTGTTTACTATTAATTATATGTTTATAACCTCATAATCTTTCTTATTTTTAACGCTAGTGGGGTGGGACTAAGGACCATGTACTCCGGCCACTTCTGGCCTATTGTACCAGCCCCAGTTGATAGGTGAGGGTGATTGTGGAGCAATTGGTGGAATGAAGATTGGCAAGGGAAACCGAAGTACTCGGAGAAAACCTGCCCCAGCGCCACTTTGTCCACCACAAAATCAAACTTGACCATACCCGGAATCGAACCCGGGCCGCCGCGGTGGGAAACTTGAGCTTGACGCGGCCCCTCATAACCTTACTGCTGGCCCTTCTTATGTGCCCTATTTCTCTTCCCTCTTAGTCCCTGGTCTAGACATATGAAGATTATGGCTTCATGGGATTCTGAGGCAGTGTATCCTGGCACAGCGGTACTCTTTGTAACATTCTGTCGGATCAGAGGGTACTTTTTTTCTAACGTTCTACCAAACTACGAATTACTCTCTTCTGGGACGTGAAGCCATGTATCCTGCTAGGACGGTGAAAACGGAAAAAGTTTTGTCAGAATATAAGGCGTCATATTCCAGGAGACTGCAGTCCCTTACAGCCACAGCCCGAGAACCGCGAGTCTCAATCTAACAAAATAATTTCCACATTATTCTTCTACAAGAAAAATTATGGCAGAAGTTTGTCTGAAACCTTGGTACCTACCTACCAGACTACACTACATCACGCACCAGAACACAAATAAACACCAGCAGGAGAAGCTCAAATCGAAAATAATAAATATTTAGCTTTCATTATCTGCATTTGAGTGTAAAGGTTCGGCCACACAGAGCGCTACGTAAGCGACGCATGCTACGTACGCTATTTTCGCTATACGAACAGAAAATATCTCCCCTAATGCCAATGTGACTGGCCACACAGACTTCCGTACGCTACGTACGCTATGTTCCCTATGTTAGCTGCGTCGCAGAGTGTACACAGCGTACGTAGCGTTCGTAGCGAACATAGCGTAGCGCTCTGTGTGCCCTAACCTTTACACGAGTAATAAATTACATGGTTACCAAAATACCCCATCTCAACCTCAAGATATTACAGTTCTGCTGTTCTGTAGCTACATCAACACAAAGTAAAAATTCCCCAGGGTATAATCCTTTCTAGGTTTGTTTTTATTTAAAAGTCCCTTCCCTAGTACGTAAGCCCATGACTTCCATTGTTAAAATGAACTATTGAGAGATAGCTGAGTACGTTTCTTTAACTAATAGTACGAAATAAAATAAATCTACTCTTTGTAAGATATAATACTTCGAACGAGATTAAGTATAGTTACAAAGGAACAAGATGGGTGTATGGATTGTATTCATCTGGCTCAGGATAGGGACCAGTGGCGAGCTGTTGTGAACACGGCAACGAAAATTCAAGTTTCATAACACTTGTATGCTTGGAATTTCTTGAGTGACTATGCAACTGTTGAATACTGAAGAAGGATTAGGCTCTGTGGAATTCCTTAGTTTACACCGTTCGCAAAATGGAATGCAGAGTATTACAAATGGCCTACACATGTTTAACATTCTTCATGCCGGCCTCTGAGGGACTGTGCCAGGCATTGAACAGTACAAAGGAAGAACGGATGCAAGCATTCGTGTTGTGCTCTATTTGTCGGATTGATTAGTAGTTAATTGGGAAAATTGGTGGATGCATGCTTAAATACATTATAAAGTAAGGGAAGGAACTGGGAGAAGGAAAATATCCAGCCCTTGCCCTTAGGCCACATATGCCAAAATATAATTTATATCGTCTCCTCTGGTTCCACTCCAGTCATGTACCTGCGTATGGATTAGTTACGTAAGTATCAATGTTTTGATCTAACGACTGACTTCTGAAGGCCGGCTCAGATAGTACGATGGTACGTCATAACAGAGATTCTCAGACTTCGTGGTACTCCAAACCCCCCCAAAAGTACATAAATTTAGACAACATCCTTCTCTTCTGCCATTCTGCACATTGCTGCAAATTCATCTCAGGCTGTACGTTGACAGCAGGAGCCTAAACAGCCTTCCAATCTGTCCAGCCTCATGGTAAGCCACAGAATGTCGTTACGCAGTCGCGAAGAAGTAGGCAAACTGCTTCGCCAGCTGCAGCTACATTCTCCGAAAGCATCTCTATTAAAGCATATTGACTCAACAAAATTGTGCGTGAATTCAACTGCATTTTAAACTGTTTCTGAGAACTTGACGACCAAACTTACATCCGGTTGCTATCCCATGACGGGTCGCGACCTACAGACATGAATCATAATTTTCTGTTACATAACAACTTGCTTGCGTGTTTCAGTGCTGTACGAGGAAGTGCCTGTCCCGTTGGTTTACTGGCAATGGTTTGATATTCCTTACATGCAGAGCAAGGAATAAGGTAAATTGCCTTCTCCTTAGCTAACTAAGCACTAGTCAAGAAGGCGCATGGGGCAGTGGATGTATAGATACATATTTTCTTGATATCGGCACTAGCTTCACTCCCCGGCCGCTTTATCCTCGGGGAAACCGCCATCAATTCCCATTGGATAGGAGGTTGGGTGGAACCCATAGCCGGTCTGGACGACGTGGAGTAGAGGAAATTCTTGACGCTACCGGGACTCGAACTCCAACCCCTCGGTCGTCCAACCCGTAGCCAGTCGCTATACCGACTGCGCTATCCCGGCTCAGGGACAAGAAAATTGAAGAAAGAAAGGAAAAAGAACGAAGAGGAATTAAGAATAAATTAAATAGCAAGGCAACAAAAGCAAATAATATAATTAAAAATTCCAGTAGCATATACTACTGTAACAGTCAAGAAACAAAATAGGATCCATCCATCTGAGTCTGAATTTCTTCAGCCCAGTCTCATTTAAAGCAATACGCCTCTGATGTGATTTATGAAGTTTAATTCCTAATGTCTCATCTCTCAGCATCGGACATTGTCGACGTCCTTTAGGTTTCCTAACCATAATTATATATATACTTCTTGTGTCATCTGGAATAAATACCCTGCTCATAACAATCTTCTAATTAGGTAACCTGAAAACAATATACAGACATACTTGCAAAGCCCCTCGATATAAATTATGACTTCCTCTATCCTCATAATTGTATAGGCCTCTCACTAGGGTAGTTAATAGAGTTCATAACAATTTTGACGTGGAAACTTCATACGAAGTTACAGTTCGGAACCCCACGATAAAGGCGAGAACATAATGCGGCCTATTAATATCTATAGCAAGCAACAGGGTTTGGTAATTTGAGTTGGGCTCTACAGATTTAAGTAAGACATTGTTACCCTCTCGGTGTTTCTTGTGGGCTACTGTACGGCTCTGTCAATATCTAGATTATATAGCGTCAAATGTTAGGATGGTTGATGAATGATTTGCTGGAGACAATTTGGAATGAAGTGGTCGCAACAGAACAGTGGCGCTGTCCCAGCATTTGCCTACAGGGACTGAGGGAAATCAAGAAGAATGCAGATCAGGATACCCGATGTCCCAGCCAAGATTCAAACGAACAACCCCCGAGTATGAACTTAGAGAGTTACAGCAATGCCAACCCTCTTAATTTCCTGATGTTGAAGCTCCGAATTGTAATGTCCACAATTACTTTCCAGCCTACTTTCCTTCTTCCTTTGGGGGTGTTCAATGAATTGCAAGTATGCAAGGCGTTTTTAAGCCACTAATCTGGTATCGCCTGGAATGACTGAAGGAAATTATCGAAATTCCAGCAAGAAATGGTGCTATATAGTTTGAGATTTGAACCGGATACTTCCCGAATATATTTTAGGCTCTTTAGCCATCAGACAACCGCCTCACTCGATGTTGACAAATCTTTATACGTATAAAACGTCATAACTTAGTAGGCCTAAACAGATTGAAGTTTATAGGAGCTTTGCTTAGCAGGGACGTTACATCTCTCCAATATCGGCTTTGCAGTTGAGCATACCCCGGAGCGATTAAAACGTAGAGGCCCCCACGAGTAACAAAAAATTTAGGTAATGTCAGTTCTTGTATTGTTGTTCCTTCTTCTTTTAATAATTAAAAGTATGAACTAATTTTTATTACTTTAGAGAAGCAATAAAATCCATCGATTTTCTTTCTGTTTTGCGGAGGCCCTGAAGCGAAAGCGCAGGTCTCCCCTCTTTACACTTTCCCCGACGGTAACTTGCCACGCTTGAACTTGCGTGAATTTAATTTTCAACCATATCGGTTCAGTTCTGTTGCCTAGTTATNGTCTAGTGGTCAAAGTTCCTGGCTACAGATTCAGGTGTCCTGGGTTCGATTCCCGGCGCTACCAGATTTTATGTGAAGTAGTGGGTCTGAAGCGGGGTCCACTGAGCGTCGTGAGGATAACTGAGGAGCAATTTCGAGAAAATAGCGGCTCCGGTTTAGAAAACCGAGATTAAAGGCCGTGGAGATTCGTTGCTTTCACCACGTGACACCCTCTATCCGCAAAAGTTGGCACTAACTTCGCCGACAAGCGGCGGTCGCTTGTTCGGTATAGTTCGCTTGCGGACTACAGGTCACAGAGTTTTTTTGTTTTGATATATATGTAACACAATGCTGATGAGAAATATAGTGCAATCCGTTTCCTGAAATTCATCTGCAATAAGCAAAACTGGAGGAGCTGTGTGTGACTGAACTCACACTCGAAAGTCTGTGAAATTCTACGTGTTGCAATTTTATAACATAACTGGGAAATAATGCATGTAGAAACCCGTGCACACCTTCCCTATCTCGTCTCTGAAACACATCACTAGACTAACTTCACTTCATTCAGACGCAAGAGCAATAATACGTAAGGTAAGGGCGAAGTTGTCCCTCTGCTTAATTATGTACCATGTCGTGAAGAATTATGGAGGAGTGGATATATAGCTATACGCAACCTAACCTTGCTACCTTTTTTTCTCCCTTCGCACTACAACCGCAGTGGGCCTAGGCCTACCTCCATGAACCTCCCGGTTTCCAAGCGAGCGAAGAGAGTACATGCCTTAATTAAGCATAATGGCTTGAAGATATACGGCGGAGTAGAGGTATAGCTCCATCATTCTTTACCTCAACATTACATTGAGGTTAGTGGTCAGCTTCACTCTCCGGACGCTTTACCCCAGAAGAAAAAGCCCCCGGTACCCATTGTATAGGAGGCTGGGTGGGCTCCAGAGTTAAAATTATTATTATTAAATCATAACAGTAACATACAATTGCCATCGAATTTTAGAATAATATTGTTGCACAAAAATTAAAAATCGATATATAATCTGTTACGTAGAATCCAACGAATGGACACGAAGAGTGATTATATTAAACAAAGAAAAAACACTTACATGCGCGCCCCCGCGTGATGATCAAGGAAAGCCTTGGAGCAGACTGAATGTTACTGTACGGTGCTGTATACTTTTATCAGGCTTCAGTTTCCTTCTGTGGTGTTACTGGGCGGTTGCATCACCTGCTGCTGTAGAATGGCACGGAGTGGAATTTCGTAACTGAAGGAACGCAGCTGAAGAAGCATTTACCCTTTGTGAAATTCACAACGTTTCATGACCAAGTTTCTGTAGTACTTGCACCACCATTTTCTTAATTCGTTTAGTGGGGGGTGGAGTCCAACTGGGTCCACTCGGCACGGCGGCCACTGATTGGCCTATTGTAGCCTGACCCGGGTGATTATGATAATGGAGAATTTGGTGGAATTAAGATTGGTAGGGGAAACCGAAGTACTCGGAGAAAATCCGCCCCATCGCCACTTTGTCCAACACAAATCCCACTTGACCAGATCCGGGATTACTTGCACCATCATTCTGAAGGCGGAGTGCCTAATTCGGTACAGAGATTAAACTATTGGATTGATAAGCGAGGAATCTTATTCTTTTATTTAAGTTTGTTGTATAACGAAGCTGTCAGTTCAAAGTTACATAATATCGATAAAAGAAAATAATTACTGAGTGTCAAGCAGCTGGAATGAGAATTTTCAGGGGAAACCAAAGTAATTGGAGCATTTGCGTCCCAGTGCCACTTTACTCACTGTATGATCTGATCTGCAATAAAACCCGAACTTCCGCGGTGGGAAGCAGGCAACTAACCGCCTGAGATTTGGTATGGCCGAATTGGAGTTTGATTCTCGACTGAGACAAGAGATTTCTCTTGTCTCTGCAGCGTCCAGAACGGCCCTGGTATATATCCTCGGGGCTAAATCAACCGAAGAGTGAAACATACAGCACATTCCATCGAGCGTCGAGGTTAAAATTTAGTGGAGCTAATCTTCAAGTCCCCCATACTTCTTTATTGAGTGGTGCTTATTTAAGTACAGGGACGTTTTCATCTTTAACTTTATCTGCGTCTTCTATTTGAATTAATTATTAGTTGATAGTTTGGAAATATAGAAATCCGTCAGAAACACATTAAAAGCCAACCAATAAGCCCTACCTTGAACTTTCTCAGTTTAGTGAGCTCAGCAATTAAATTTATTAAAGATCCCTTTTAAATTTTCCTCTCGTAATTCCAATTACTTTTTTTCAGGCATAATATTCCGTCACAAGAATTGTATGTGGATTTATCGTTTCTGTCCACACTGACGTCATATACTTAAGCTTAGACAACAAGGTACACAGCACCTTATGGCATAGGACGAAATTGAATTGTTCAGTATTTACTGAAATACTTTCTGGAACACGAGATTCTTTTCACTTTATAGAAACTTCGAGCTGAGTGACTTACTGTATAAAATGACGGAACTCAAAAGTGTCTCTCAAAACATAAAAATTCAATCCCTCAGCCACCGTAATTTATTCTGCAACCACTGATTTAAACATTTGGAATCGTCTTCTTGAAGCAAATTTTTGTTCTATTGTAACGCTTCAGGTTATCGTGGGTTTGTATTTTTAAGTTTTCTGTAACAAATTTGCTTTTATATCTTTATTTTCAGCATTCCTAATGAAAAGTTTGTACAAAATAGACAGCTAAATTATTAATCAATTAATAAAACAATAAACCGACATTTCGGAGGAAAGTATCGCCTGCATCTTCAGGCAAGAAAAATCAGCGAGTGAGGTACCAGCGTGAGCAGTCAATTGTAGCCACCTTCTCACGCTAGTTCCTCGTTCGTGGGTTTTTCTACCCTGAAGATGGTAGCGATACGTTCCTCTGAAACGTTGGTTAATACAAAATTCATATGGCATCACATCGCAACAGACGGAATTCTTAATTAATATATTTATTTTCATAATCCACAAATTTATTAGCAACTTTTTCTGCTTTTAAAATTATTTAACTTCACCAACTCTCAGGTTCTTGAGATAAAAGGAGGAGGTCGACGTAGAAAGAAATGACTGAAACATTTAAGTACGTGGATTGTATAATTGTGCAAGTGGGATGACAGTTATTAGTGCTGGGGCGCCCTGTTAATGTGCAGTTTTACCTCCAATAGTCAAGCAAGCCTATAGTCCCGTCCCGAAGTAGAAATTACACCGTGTGTGACTGGAATCCCCAGGACTCTATGAACGCAACGGCGCCGCAAGATGGGGATAACAAATTCTCGGCACTCACTGGCATGGAAGATAATTTTCACCCTACCGTGTTAATGCTAATACAAAATCCTTGTGTGGTTTGACCTAATCTGATTATTTACGATAATATTTCAGCTTATATTTGGCGTCTACTACTATTGGTTGCTAAGATGGACTACGGCCATGCTACACACCTCCCACCTAGATGAATTCGTGCGATTTTGAGGGGTGGGGGTGCATATTCATCCATGGAACATGCGGTTAATCAGTTTCTAGAATTCTTAAATTTCTTTGCCAAACGAACTGAAAAATGGAAAGAACGCTCGATGAATCCAAGAAGCAGCATGAAAGAGCTTAATCTTAGATGTTGTTTAATTTATAAATAATGTTGTTCCTTTTATTTGTGTTAAAGTGATCCGCAGGACAGTTTTTAACTAATATGAAAGTAACATGTTTTGAATGAAGTAATTTATGACACTCAAATAATTTTATTTTTTTGTATTTATTGTTATGTAGGTTGTGGAATAATTTGAGCAAAACATTTGAAACTTAAACAGCAAGTTCCACTTACTCATTGACCTTGTTCCTGATTCCTTCACCTTACCTTTATGACAAAAATATATGGGGCTATGGAGGCTATCTCCTTTTCTCTGTATTTCAATTTTAAGCGGCGTGTACGAAATATAAGCCCACTTCTACAAAAGTTTCTAGAAAATTCTAAATTATTTCACTAAGAAACTTTTATGGCCCTTTACCAAGATGTTGTTGTTTGTGTATTTGTGTTTTAAGTTTATAGAATTTAAGGCCGCGCCATAGCTCAAGCGATTATTCGCTGACTTCCCACCGCGGCGGCCCGGGTTCAATCCCGGGTCTGGTCAAGTGGGATATGTGATATGTGGTGGACAAATTGGCGCTGGGACAGGTTTTCTCCGAGTACTTCGGTTTCCCCTGCCAATCTTCATTCCACCAATTGCTCCACAATCACTCTGACCTATCATCTGGGGCTGGTACAATAAACCAGAAGTGGCTGCAGTACAAGGAACTTAGTCCTACCCACTAGAAATAAAAAAATATAGAATTTATATTCAACTTCAATTTTGCATCCTTCTTTAATTGTAAATTAAGAAGCAGCCGACAGGACAAGCCTCACTGTCTGTTCTCGTACCCCATGATTTCCACGCACGGCTTGGAGTGCCCTTTCTTCCCACGCACTCAACACAGGTTTATACACTTCGAAGTGCCTCTTCACACCAAACGAGTCCAATCACGTAGAGATGAGTGCAGTCTAGTCGGCTCATGTGAATTCTACCATTCATCGAATTTCTACACCTCCTACATTTTGCCAATGAACTAGTTAATTGCGTGTCGAGATTTGTGTCAGTATTGCTGATAAACGCACATATTTACTACAGTCATTCACACAGAATATTATTATGTAATTATAGTATTGCATGGAATAAAATAGATTACCATTTGTGATTGAGTGGCTACTTCCTTCTATACACGTGCATGTAAGTCCCTATTTCAATGTTTAGGATGATGAGAATTGTAAACTTCTGATGATAAAGCACATAAATAATTAAACTGTCAGTATCCATGTTTCCAGCACAAATGACGTATCAGCACTGAATTCAGAAGCCCGAAATGTTGAGTCAGTGACATGACTCGATTATGTTGACACGCCACTGAAGTTGACCTGTCGGATTCGTTCGGGAGCAAATATCACATATCAATTAAAAGCATATCAGTTTTGAGACTAGAGAATTCATAACCATCAAACGTGACGGGCTTGGACTCCTCTTCATTTGACTGTACTGATTTGGTGTGCTACTGCACTAATGACATTTTTCGATGTTGTTAAGCGGCTTTGTTGATCCCGTACCAAACGTCAAATTTCAGTTTCTTTCTGCGATCTTATGCGAGTTGGGTCGTTAGTATAATTCTGCACTGGAGCAGACTGTTCTCGTGTAAACAGCAAGATGTTCCGTTGGCTTGGTCGTAGAGAATACAACTACACCCAAAACAAAATAAAAACAGGACCATTCCATTCTGCGATAATTTTATTTCCTTTTATCTGCCAAGCAAATACCTCACATGTTCTATTTCATAATAGAATTTGGGGACATTTTTTTTCTGTGTAAAATTTGAGGGTTTCACAGCGGTGACTATGAAGAAAGGAATCTTCCGGGATGTGGCACCGTATAGATGTGGTGTTAACCGACGTTTCGGAAGAACGTGTCGCCTCCATCTTCAAGGTAGAAGTGAAAAATAAGAAAATCCGCAAGCGAAGGAACCGTGAATATCGGTACAAGCAGACGGCTGAAGATGGAGGCGATACGTTCCTCCGAAACGTCGGTTAACACCACATCTACACGGTGCCACATCCCAGAAAACTACTTTCTTCAGAGTGTTTTCTGTCTTTCTGATCACTATTACTTTAATTTCAGGTTTTGAATTGATGGACAGAATTAATGTAGCAACAGTAATCTGGTCTCAGATATTAAGATGGCTGTACTGAATCTGACATGGGTTATCCAGTGACTGAGGTTGGCTCCTCCTAAGGAACCCAACAAGGTAGCTGTGTCCCCCATCACCTGAGGACGGAAACAGATCCAGTTTCCGGACCATGGACAATTTCCGAAAACCCAGTAATTCTGAACAGTACTCTCGTTGTAATTTTCTTCATTCAGGCTTCTGTGATTTAGGATCTAGGGATTTCATTATCTCTTAGCCAGTCTTTTCTTCTGGCTATCATATAAGACTTTACAGAAGATTCCTCGGAGGGTTTTTAGATCTGAGGAAGTTATATAAATATATATGGTGATACATTTAAATGAATAATATTTTTTACTAATAAGGTTGTTGAATACATGAATCCAGAGCAACCAAATTATC